GGCCTGGGTCGGATTAGAAAAAAAATCTGATTTGTCGCGTTCAGACTGTCAAAAAAAATTGGATACGAGTCAGATGGGTCAAAAAAAATCGGATTTGGGTCGGATTTGCCTGCAGTGTGAACATAGCCATGGAGACACTTTTGGACCGAGGCTGAACCGAGCCGAACCGCAAAGCTGCTGCCAGGGAGGAGAGTTGTTGTAGCTCCGGTTTAAAACGTTCACGGTTCTGTGCCCCCATGGAAAACTCGTGCGTGACAACTTTGCACTTAGCTTMAACTCTGTTTTTGATGAAAATAGAAAGTTCTGCTGCCAACATTCTTGCTAACTTGTTAGCGCAGCATGTTGTTGTGATCACGTGAGCGCTACATGCCGGATCCAAGCGCTGCTGGATAGAAACACTGGAGCGGAGTCAGCGAACTGCTGGAACGGACTGCTAATATCGGAGCGCTTATATTGGACTGATATCGGATATCAATATCGGATCGGGACACCCCTAACAGAAACTGAGCTAAAGTTTGATTAACTGAACCATTCACAACACATACTACAAGCATGACATCTCATGAGATTGAAATTAACTTAATTAACAAGTTAACATACAAAGTTAATTTCAAAGTTTGACCAGTAGATCTGACATAAGTGGGTGATATGCATTATTTCAAGAAATGCTAGRTTTCACTCTAGCTTTAACTTTTAAGGTTTGTAAAGTTGGAACAAATTGGCATTACAGACATCTAAACTTATACTTCTATGATGTGAAAACATTGACTTTCATCTGAATGACATCTGTGCTGAACTATTGGACAGAGCAGCATTCCTGTATGACATATAGAGGTGTTTTAACAGAGGACACAAACATATTGTTTTAGGAGAAATGTGCAAAATAGACAATATTGGCACTACTATTACAAAATGTAAAGATTTCAAAGCTGTATTTACATACAGGCATCTCTTTATACACTCTCAACCATCAAATTTTGTTTGCACATTCTCAGACATCTGTGATCCAGTCTTAGTGATTCTGACTGCTTGGATAAAAATTAAGTGTCAGTGTTCAAAATCAACCTTTATATATATTGTTGTATATGTCAGTTTTGGAGGGGATACCATGGGAGTGTTTACACAAGTTTTTTTTTTTTTTTTGGTAAAAGGAAAAAAGTGAAGTTAGGCTATTAGCTGTGCTCATAATAAACAGTAACTGTTTTACCTGACTCTTTGTATAAATATAAAATCAGATGTTTCTCAAGTTTAAACTGCAAAAAGGTAAAATGTATAAACTAAATGTGTATTTATGCAGACATAAAAGGAGAGTTTAACGCTCACCTCGTCATCCTGCTCTCTCCTGACAGCCTCCTCAGCTGATCGCTCGAGCTCTTCTTGAATCAAGCGAGCATACTCAAAGTCCTGCTCTTCTCTGCACAACAGAGAAGGAAACTTTTTATACTTGTGACTTTTTTATGTAATAACCAGCATGCAACAGTGCAAATAAAAATATGTAAGATAAAGCATGCGTTGTGTTAGATGCATGGTCGCCTACATTTGTCTGGAGGCCTGTTTGTGGAGGATGCTTTGCTGCACCTGTTGCTCCTCCTCATCCTGTAGCCTCTTGGCCACACGGATGTCATTCTGCACCAGCTGGTTCTTCAGAATATTGGTGGTATAGTATTGCTCAACTGAGAGCGAGACACAGAGAGAAAAAAGCAGAAGCTAAGCTAGTACTGAATGTGCAGCAACAAAGAACCAAGTCTCATTTACAGGATGGTAATGTGGCACGCCCGCTTTTTATTGGATTTCTAGAAATCTTTAAAGAAAATTAAATAACATGACTCTCTTTTTACAGCAATGATCTGAACAATAACCTTCATGGACCAAAGAAGCAACTAAAACCCGTAAGTCATGTGACATTGACAGTTTCGATATATTTTTTCTTTTTTCATATAAAAAAAGGTTTTGCTACAAATACAGACAAATAAATAAAATTCAATCTTTACAATTATCTCCATACTCACTCTCCTGCTCTTGCAGGCTGTTTGCCAACACGCCATCTTCCAGCACGGCAAAACTCTGGCAAACTGCAACAACAGACCAGAGCAACGTTTCAGCATCACACAGTTATGGCATGTTGAACAATGACAGGAAGGAGAAAAAAACCAAGTGTTTAATAAAGTGAGGAGTTTCAGAAGTAAAATAAAAAGGAAACTGAAGTTTTCAACAGTCCACTGAGGCTCCGTTCTGATCCAGAGCTGAGCCTCTGAAGGAACGTGAGTGTTGTGATGTCTGTTCATAACACCAGGAAAGACTAAAGAGTGATGCAAGGAAACAGAAAMCATCCTCTACTCTGACATGTCCAGTTTATCCGACTCTTTAAAATCCTCATCTGACAAGTGTTAACTAATTAAACTAGCACCTCCATAACTTACTGAACTGTAAAACAGCAGCACCTAGATGCGTTTGTGTGTGTTTGTGTTCAACATACCACAGCAACTGATATTTACTGTGTTTTTAAGTAGCTGCTGGTTATCCACTGCTTAAACATGAATGTTCAAACTTTCTGACGGGCTCAGAWCCATGCTGCTGGTACAAATGTGTCACCATCTGACACTAACTCAGTTCAGTTTGCATAAACAAACCTCTGTGAGGCAAACCAAGTCATTTCTGTCCTATGATTCCAAAGTGTTAAAGTACACTATATGTTAATAAAATATAGGTAATGACAGGGAAAAGAAGCAACCTATAGTTTACCCTTTTCTTTAGTTTCAAACAAATAAAAATCAGATCATTTCTAATAAATGACCAACTAAGGCACATTTTCATACTGAAGGTATAGGGTCGTAACACGTACAGTTTTGTATTACTCTCTGATCTGACCTTAACAGCTTCAACCTTTGCGGACAGCTGCTCTGATTAAACATGCCAAATGCTCACAGCAGTCCTTYACAAGCTGCAAGAACCTCTCTGTGCTCCAACCCACACGTGTTTACACGTCTGTCAAACAAACTCAGGAGTAATTTAAGAGAAAATAAACATGCAGAACCAATGTGTTGCTAAAGACACACAGTTAGCAATCAGCTAGCTACCTTATTTTCCTGAGAGAAGCTGCAGTGGTTTTCTCTCTCTCTCTCTCTCTTTTAATCCAGAACTGAATCTTTGAATTATGAACTGAGTTCAGGGAAGTTTAAAATATTTTATTTTGCTGACTCATTAGCAGGTCCACACAGAAATACCCGCTTTTCTGCTAATGACTCCACTGAGTCCATCAGACCTGGAGGAGCACCMGGATCTGTAGAGAAGAAATCTAACATAATCCTCAGGATCCTCAAATATTCTGTTAGTCAGCTGTCCACAGGCAAAAGAAAACGTGTGCACCAGAAGCACTAATTGTGGTAAAAGTAGGGTTTATTAGTGATTTTTAATCTGAAAAACAGGAAATCTAATTTTAAAACCAAATAATTATWATTAAAAATGGAACATATTGAATGTGAGTGTGATCTACTGAGCCTGTTGTCTGCAGTCTGTTAGCAGCACACCATATGTGAGCTGAAAACAAAACATTTGACTCATTCAGTTTAAAAAACACTTTGCAGAGTTTWCATTCTTGTGTGCTCCTAAAAAAACACATCTGAAATGTTTCTAAACCTGAAATTCACTGGTAACTGTAGCAAGGAGCCAAAACTACAACTAGAATTTCCAAAACCCTAATGACAAAAAATAAATGATCATTTGCAAACAAGACAGTGAGCACACAAAACACAATTTACAAAACATGTTAAAGAAAAAAATACATGACAAAAAAAGCCAACATGATGTGATTTAAACTTGTGTTTGGTGAGATGTTTTCTGCTCTGTTGTAATGTTTTCCATCATGTTGTGTTTTTACAACCTCACTTTGATTTAATCACTTTAGTGTTTTTTTGTTTACTGTTTTGTTTTTAAAAATGTCACATTTCTAGAGGAGCTTTGCATTGTTCCAAAGTGGATTGTTTGTGTTTCAGTTATTATGATGTAATTGCAGCTTTTTCATCTTCTAAAAGAACAACGATCCTCATTTGAACAAGAGAAACAGAAATCATGTTAAGAAGCATTTTCTGCTATTACAGAACAAAAAAGCCCTAAAAAGTTACAACCAACCAAAGCGAAGCCATAACTACAATGACTCATCTAAACAGGGAAGGGAAAGAAGCACGGGACAGAGTGTTGTAATGAAATAGGACTGAAAGAGGTTTTTTTACTCCTCAAAATGAAATTAAAAAATGTTGAAGCTAAACAAAAAACATGTTTGGTGTTACATTTCTGCAGAGTGCCATCTGACAATGTTTACAGAAATCACTCAGAGAGTGATAAGTCCGCCCAAAAATATCGGTTTATACCATAAATGACCCTCATAAGCCCTCATTCAGGTTTAGGCCACTCCAACACACACATAATACTTCTTACACCTGTTGTGGGGCTTTAGAGACTATCCGTTAAATGGATCTGCAACCTGTCTGCAAGTGAGGGGGGGTCAAAGCTGAGGTCTTACTTTTAGCCACCGGGACAAAGTGACAGCTCAAAAACGTTTAGGTCCAGCGCAGAAAGAAGAGTGACAGATGGACGGGAAAGATGGAGAAGATGACACACTTGTTTGGTGTGAGTCTGTGTGTGTGGGTGTGTCTGAACAGTGGGTTGACTTGTTTTTCCAAAATCCTTCAGAGTACGATCACATTTCTCTTCTGTGTTTTAAAGACGGTCGAACAGGTTCGGAGAAAAAGGGAGTGAGGCATTCAGGGCCGGCAGTAAAAAAACCATATGTTCAGTGCAAATCCAGGGACGACTACTGTAAGCTTCTTAATATGGGCTCTGAACAGGCCTGGGTTTGTTTTTTTAAAAAGATGGTACACAAAACAGCCGGCAGACAACTAAAACTGACTGCAGCATTCGAACATTCAGGTATAAAAAGTTGCAAAGAAAAAAAACAACTCAAAATACAAATCAAGACGGTTTTACAGCAGTGTTTTCTCCTGGACTGTGCAGACTTTCTGTAGAGTCAAAAATGGAAACTATAACTTGCACAATATTTAACACCCTTCACAGACTTTAAGAAAACTGACGATGAACCAACAGGAGATAAAATGCTGCAGCTTATGTGAAGAATCCAGCTCGAGGGAGCGACCAGTCCATCAGTAACAGAGACATTTATTTCTCTTTCGTTTCGCAGCTACTTGGGTCACAGCAGCAGCAGCAGCAGCAGCAGCAGCAGCAGCAGCAGCAGCAGCAGCAGCAGCAGCAGCAGCAGCAGCAGCGCTTGCCAACGAAGAAACTGGCGAATGGAGAAAATGACAAGGGTTCTATTTTCAGCCAAATTCTCCCTCCACCCACCCACACGCTCTCTCTGCTTCTCCTCTCTGGAYGGCTCTGTTTTCCTTCACATTTTGTTGTTTTACTAAAGATTTTATCCCAAAATGCCAGTTTGTGGTGCAGCTGTTCAAACCCCAGCTTACTGGAACCAAGCCGCCCACAAACTAAAGCTTTTTGCTACGGATATTAAAAGAAATGTGAGGGGGAATGGGAGTCGGGTGGGGGGACGGGGGGGTCAGCTGGTGAGGATGAATTTGGGAACGAGTGGGAGGTGGGGAGATTCTTCTGGGAGCTGCATTCCCTCAGCATGTTGGGCTATATCAGGAGGAGTCGAAAGAGACACAAAACAGGAACWGATAAAAAGGGGCAGGAGGTGGGGGGGGCAGTGAAAACAAAGAGGGCTGACTTGACCAAGACACTTCAGTGGAAAAATAAAAAAGTGGAAGTGAAGAAGGACAGGGCTGCTGAAAAAACAAAAAAAATAAGCACTCAACGACACGTTAACTGAACTCTGGTACCAGTTCGACAAATCCGCCCGGTTAAAGTGGGCGCTGAGCTGAAACAATTACAGCRACTAGACGTTTGATTTACACGCCGCTTTTGTCTCTTCGACAAGTTTATAGATGCTATTACTGGCTTTGTTTGGGCTCTGGCCTCTGCTCGATACAGAGCCGCACAGTGTGGCCTTTGTACGCGGAAACAAGAGGGGAGTGCAGAATTATCTCCCTTGATAAAAGGACATGCAGACCTATTTCCATCCCGTTCATTAGTGTGGACATGCCAAAGACTGAGCCAGCCATCTACACCCAGRCCACAGCTCAGAAATTCCAAACCTCTGAATGTTTTCCTATGCAAAAATGAAGCCAAGCCAGAGCTGCATTTTGCTCTTTGTATCTGAACTAAATGCCTTTCCTYACTTTGTGGATGCAAGGAAAGCTAACAGAAGCATTAAAACTTGTAAAAGCGACACGTGATGCTTTTTTAAATGCTTGTACATCAAAAACAGCTGTTTTCTCCACTCAGTTCACTAAACTTTATTGACAGATCAGAGAGAACATTTCCTTTCAGCCCACTTGCACCTGTAAAAAGCTTTAAAAAGTCGAAGCATGAAGCCGTCAATAGACGTTTCATCTGATATGAAGAAAATGCACTGAAATTTGGTATTCRTTAGGTGTCATTCTTGGTATTCATTAGGTGTCATTCTGTTTGAACTGGACAGGCAGACCAGACAAGGGGCTCTTTTGTGCTTCTGTGTCAATAAAAACAATTCCCAAAGCTTCATGTCTGCAGTTTAGTAGCTGACCCTGATCTTTGAGCGGTCTGTCGAGGGGCTGAATAAAAACAAAACCTCTCTCCTGTATGGACCGTTAACCATTACACACTTTTTCCATACACTCGTGAATCTACAGGAGATTTAGGTGAGTATTTGATTCATTATTGTTTTTAGGATTATGTATTCGCCAACTGTGAGGACTTGGTAATAAACCTGGAACGTCATGTTTGGTGTGAGGGTTAGACTAATGTGTGAGTGGAGTTTATGTTAGTGTTAGGCACATACTGTAGAAATGAATGGAAATCAATACAATGCACTAATAATACAAGCTGTTACCTTCTCTGACAGGTGGGAGGTTGGTCTGGTCTATCTCCAGCTCTGCCATCTCTGCTCCTGTGCTCACTCCTTCATCATGATGCTACAGAAGACCCTGACAAGAGAAAAGGGAGAGTTCAGCCAAGTTAATATTTGATCAACTCAAATAAAACGCGTGGACAACGAGGACGGCTGGTTTAAGCGACCTGTCATGTTTACTACGTTGAGCGGCAGCCAGAACAAAAAGCAACACATTAACCTACATAACTGTAGAAACAATGTTGACTGAACTATGAGMGGCCATTTATCGACTGAGGTTAATGAACGTTAACACTAGTGTTGTATACAGACAGTCAACAAGTATGACGACATTTTGTCAACTTCAGTTCTACCTACCTACCTTCCTTCCTTCTTTTTCCTTCTTGTGTGTTATATCCTGCTTCGAAGCGACTCTTTCAGTGCCTTTACTTTCGGTGTTTTCTAGAAYATAAAAACAAAGCCCCGTCGACTTGTGCTGAGGTGGAAAAGGCAGGGACGACAAAGTTAAGAGCTGCTGCTTCTCTTCCCAGTTCCTGTTCGGCGGCAGAAGTGGGGGCGGGGTCAACGGATGCTGCGTTCAGGTCCGCCTCCAGAATCAGACACTCCTCTATCAAAGTTTAATCACTCTCTGGCTTCGGTGTTTGCTAATAAATTAAATATCAGAAGTGCYAGATACAGAGCACATTAAACGCAGAGGCGACTACAAAGACCAGCGAAACGAGTTACGTCAATCAGACATTTACAGGTAAATTATAAATTTATGGCCAAGGTTAGTCACACAAACACAACACGAACTACGTTAAAGCCTTTCATTTTTTCGCTTTAGCCTTGTGAACATGATATTTATGCTTATGAATACCATTCAGATACGGTTATAATGGCTTTACGAACACAGTTCATGCGAGTTTTATGAATAACACACCCATTTCAAACAGTCCTTGAAGTCAGCCCTTAATTAGACAAATATTTAATTAATATTGACCTGCTGCAGCTTAATTGGTCTGTTTGTTCACTTCAACATTGTGTTGTGGCTGCTGTGTTTTGGTTTATGGTTTCATAAATCGGAATAAATAAATAAAACAATAAAGTTGGCTGTAAAAGAAATTATACGCACAGACCTTGTGTTGCTGCTGACTGGAATTTTTTCTTTATGTTTTATAGCTGGTTTGTAAAGATTAGCTGAATATGCCCAGAGTGCTTTTCGAAGTGAAAGCTTAAACAAAACGAGAAATACCAACTTTTCTTAAAATGCTAGATTTTTTTAAGCAGCACTGGGAAATTTGCATTTAAAACTAAATTRTGTGCAGTCATTAGATATTCCAAATATAACGCTGCCCTCTGGTGGYAGTGAGTCAAAAATCACATTAGGCGAATGTTCGCAAGTGATTTTTGACTTGCTTGAGTAATTAATTTCCTTTTGTTAGCCAGGTTTGTGAGTCTTAGTTTTGACTAAGTATTTCTGAGTTGATGATTTTAAAGTAAATRGTTTTAGGTTATTTTAAATATCCAGTTTCTGTACTCTGTCCTGTTCAGGGTCAAGAGCTGGAGCTTATCACACAACATACTGTAGATTAGATGTAACAAACAACCATGCACACAGACTGACATTTGGATTATTTAATGCTTTTATTAATGATATCTGTCTGAATGCAGAATCTATGAGCTTCTCTGTTTACCATTGTGGGAGACTTTTTATCTCCGTCCGTCCCTCCGTCCCTCCGTCCCCTGCTTTGGGTTGCAGGGATCTGGTGTATTTTTCCAGCAGTGCAAGAGGTGGGTCGCAAGTCCATCGCAGGCCCAAGACAAATGACACACAAGCATTTAGACTCTCATTCACACCTAAGGGACAATATATTTAAAAAAAATTGAGGTGGCTGTGGTGCAGTGGGWGGACAGTTGTCTTGGGACCACAAAGCCACAGGCTTGATCTCTCGCCAAGCCCACATGTTGTGTTGTCCCTGAGCAAGACACCTAGTCCATAAGCTTCCCGGGTGCATCTAGCTGCCTGTTTCTCCACTTGGGTGTATCTCATGTGTGATGAATCAAATGCAGAGTACAGATTTTGTCAGTGAATGGGAACATGCATTGATGACAATACATAGCACATTATTATTTACTGTTTAGTTACCAATTAATCTAACTTGCATGTTTTAAGTCTATGAAATCAGGAAAGCATGCGTACAGGGAAAACGTGCAAACTCCACACAGAGAGGCCCTGTTTTATCATGACATCAAATAAAACCGATTATGTTTCTCAAACCCTACAAATAGGTCTGTCAAAATTATAATTAATATCCTAATGTGTCACCTGATACAACAGCATGGAGTCCCACAAGGCTCAGTCATTAGTCCCATGTTTTTTAAGCTGTGTATTACTTTGTTTTTCAGATTAAGGACTTTCATGGTGAGCTTCATCTATAGTTTAAATCTATGTTAAAAGTWGATAGAAAGTTTGGTTATTACTTTCTGTATTTATTTTAAAATGGAAAGAAACAATGGATAAATCTACATGGATAATTTTTGCATTCTAAAAGCAGTGGCACAACTAATTCATTTTTGTTAAAGACGTTGGAACAAACATTTTCTTCATATTAGCTTAATATAGTGTCTAATGTAACAGAAACATTTGTGATATTATGAAAACTTTTGTAGCGTAAACCTCAAAGATGAGAAACAGCATTTAATTGGATGTTCAAATGATCTGAAGTTGACAGCAAGCATATGATTAACACATAATGGAACCTTAACGGCTTCAAGAGAGCTAATGGAAGCTGTAGCCTCCCAACCATAAAATCAAATGCCCTTTCTTTATCTGCCTTATTTTCATATGGAAGGATAAACACTGACATCACTGGCTTTAGACTAAAGCTGTGCACTACACCCAAACACAGACATCTGACTTGTCTTACCCTCATCAATGATCCTGACTCAAAGTTTTGCTTTGGATGACAAGACAAAATAAAAGCACAAATCAAACACCATACACAAACCAGGATTCTAAATATTGCGCATCAATCAGTTTGAATTTGTGACCCGGTGAAAATTTTCCATTGTCCTAAATGGATTTAAAATGTCAGACAAGTCATAGACAACAAGGTCATGAACATTTTGCTGTGRGCCTCTGATTAAGTAGTTACTCATATTTATGAGGAACCGTCTCTGTTTTGTGTGCTGTGAGTTTTAGGTCCAGAGAAGTCAAATGGCCCAAGAAGTTAATGAACAAGRCGCATAAAGATCAAAGTGATCTATCTGCCCCGCGTCTCCACCACCTGCTCCCCGAGGAAGTGGGTGACATCACAGTTCATGCACCTGTTTCAATATCATTTTTAAAGGCTGTAAAAGCGGTTCATCAAGCCAGAAAGGTGGTAAATACAACAAAGTGTGCYCCTGAAACACGGGTCAATTTATTAAGTCTGTAATTCACCTGTTGATTTATACAAGTGAGAAACGATGTGGCTGCATGTTTCTGATGGCTGTTATGGCGATCAGAAATACAGTATGTGTGTGCCAGGCATAAGAAGCATATAAAACTGTTGGTACTGGTGGAGCATGCAGTGGTCTTCACCTGTGGACCTCTGTGCAAATCAGAACTGCTCRAAACAACAGAGTCCAACAGTGATGAGGTGCAACAATCTCCTTTCCTGGATGTTTGTGCTTGTGGCCTCTGGACCACTGTTTGCCCACCCCATCACAGAATCTGCTGAGATGGCCTACCCAGGACCTGGTGAGTAAAGGATAGAAATGTATTTTATGGTTTTATGCGTTCTGGTTAATCAGTTCTGCTGCATTTGGGACATTTTTAGTTACACAACTGAACTTGTAATGATTAATGTCAGCAAAGCTACAAGCTTGGACTTTAATTATCTGAGAGCGGCAGTGGTCAGTGCAGATTTATTTATTTATTTACCAACATTCACATGCAAGTTTTATTGTCAGACTTTTTGTTTTTTGACTTAGCACAAAAAGTAAGGAACTTTGTGTTTAGTAGATYATTTCATTGTTGTAACAATGGTCCTTAGCAATTAATCTTATACCACTGGAAAGCCTGTTAATTTTCCTTTTAGATAATGCCACATTTGTAAGGAACATGCATTTGTGGGATGAGCAGTATGTGGGTTGCGCACATGAAAATCTTGCCAAATCTTATACCAAACAGCTTATTTTGCTATTTCTATTGTTTGTTTTTAGCTTCTACCCAGGTGCTGCCAATCAGGTGCCCGCTATAAGATTTATTGGCAAGGGAAAATAATCTTTCAAACACAAATGTGTTTAATTTTTTTTGCTAAATTTATATATTTTATTAATGATAGGGGATTACAAGTGTGATAAGACTTAAATGATAGTCCAGTGTTTTTTCATTCCTTCTCCTCAATCACGTGTGGTTATTTTGTTGTCCCCAGTATCCGTGGAGGACCAACGAATCGGATCGCTGCATGATTTTTCTCTGTCGGAGCAAACCTTCCCTCCACAGGATGGAGCCGGTTTCAGATATTCCACTTTTCTATCTAATAGAGACAGTAAGAAACATGCACACAAACATGTATAGCCATTTTTGTTGCTAGCAGCACCAGTGGCACCACTCTTTTTGCTAAAGTTAGTGAATTTTGCTGCCATGATTCTTTTAAAGCRTATCTCATGTCAGCATATCCTCTCAGGTGCTGGAACAACAGGTCTGCTGCCGAGGGGCATCAAACGAGAGGTCAGTTTTCTAAAAGGGGCTRGTTAATAATAAACAAAATGTTATTGTTCTTGTRAAYTATACTGTATATTATGTGCTATAYTACGCACCATATAACTGCTTTATCTTTTCATTTAGGTCATATTGGAGAAGCAAAGTCTCTTAAAACCGTACAGTCTGGGCTTCCGAAAACAGTTCAGGAAGAGAGATGGAAACTCTGAGTGTTTCTGGAAGTACTGTGTGTAAAATAAAGTATTGCTGACTTACTCAATGCACAAGCTTGTACTAAAATGTCTTGAACTAACACACACACACACACACACACACACACACACACACACACACACACACACACACACACACACACAC